GATGATTATGACTTTCGCTTATGAGACACTAGATGTAAATGTATAAATACTATTTGCAACGCACATGCCACCCAACGAGAAATACTTCTTCGAGAATTACATTGCGTGATGTTTACTTTTTGCAATGGTTCACCGCTCATATCTTGTTTTAAACATTTTATTTCTTTGTAAAACTATTGTATTACCGAAACAGAACCTTTTACCTTGGGACGAAAACGAAATAAAATTCAGGATGTATAGTTAATTAGCAACGGATGTTTCTCCAACTTTAGTACAAAGGAATACAGAATAGAGGCCCAATATATAATACTTCGACTGAGATAAGTTATATAGTTACTGTGCGACGAGGTACCTCCACTAATTTCTGGTCCTGGCAGAGGCCCATATACCACCATTGTAGCCTTCACGATCATATAATTATGACTAAGTATATTTAATTATGTGTACAGGTACCCGAAGACACTTAAATGGTGCCACGTCATGGAGATGCAGCCCTACTGTAAAGAGTTCAACAACAAATCGGCGGCTACTTTCGGAGATCTGTATAAGCTAATTATGTCACATTAGTTTTTAAAATAAACATTGGCAATAACTTAGTCTTCTTTTTCATTTCAAATTAAAGTCAAATATTTTAAAATTGTTGCAATTTAAACTATATATTTTAACAATGCAGTTTTCATTGCAAGTGAAGCCAGCAAACGTCAACAAGCCACCTGAATGATAACTATGTATATTCCAAACTGTTTCATCGCCGTCGTTGCATCCAACGAGATTGGATTGAAGTGGGCCGCGTGCCAGTACACGTAGATACACAACCTACAGCATGATATTGTGAATAAATCGTAAGCTGCGCTCTGACCATGATATATGCCGGTACAAATTGGATTTATTTCCCGCTTTCCCTTCCCATTGGTACTGAACAGAAACTGTTATTGCACGTATGAACGATGAGGTGTCATGAATAAAATATTCTGTTGCGAACGCGTCACGCATCCGGAGGTTTCGATAGCGATTTCAATGTGATACACCAATCACACGACACCTCGTACAAATGATTTATTGCTCGTGTACATATAAGTGTGACCTGTTTTGGCACTTGGTGTAATAGAATTACCAGTCCCAGGCGCTTCGATGCCAAATATACTTGGTATTCAATCAAGTATCTATATTTCTCATGCAATATCAGCAAAGTATTTCAGACTTTTAACTTTTAAAATCTTGATAATTTTGCTCTGGGTTTGTATACTCAAGTATGTACAAGTGGTACATCTATCTTGTTGACATACGAAAGCCACGATGCTATAATAGATTTCCAAACCAATGATCATATATTAGACTGTACGATACTATTCTATTTACATAGACAATTTATACATAAAACACATTGTTTTTATAAAAAAAACAAATACTATTCTTTTTCCTTTTTCAAAAAATACGTTGCCCCACATTAGGATTTTCTCCTGTGTCGTGGGTGCGTTTACAAACATATAAGTTAATATACACATGACACCCAGACCCGTGTGATCCACAAATTGTTGTTCCGTGCGGGAATCAAACCCGCAACACGTTGCACCGCAGCCGGTTACCCAGCCACCGCACCAACCGTGCAGTCAAGGCAGGCAATACTATGTCCCTTTTAGTTCATACAAGCCACAGCTAGGTACCAAATTAATTAGATGATGATGGATTAATGTTCATATTTAATAATACTAACGGCGTACGGCTATGACTGACGTGACGACTCATGATATGAGCCCCTTTTATGGCTTGAAACGAGTTTAGGAACCTTCTGAAACAGCACTTTATAAGTATGTCGAATTACTTATTTCAAATATTGTAACAATTTTTCACGAGCCCGCCAGTTTAAGTGGGATAGTTAGAGATTCACGTAGTTACTATCGCACAAGACTAATTTCACGATGATCCAGTTCTCGGTATAACGAATATACTGCATAATTCGGTACTTCTGCATGCAAATGTCGTTTGTTAGATTTATGCTTCAATGCAAAACGACTCATTCCTATTTTGCTTTGCGTTTTATTTGAGTATTACCCGTAATATCCATTTTTGTTGTTTTTCCACTGTTGATCAAGTTACGCACACAAATCTATGCCGTGTCACAGGTATATACGGTATAATCTCCTTTGCAGATACAAATTCCCGCATCGGTGTATTGTCTTTTGGGACATATATTTCAATAACTCTGCTGTGGTATTGCGTATAAATCGTTCTTTTAGACATTTGACAATAATTTACGTCGATAATTTGCATCGGAACAAAATATGCCTTTATTAACGCATAGTTGAGATATATTTTCTACTGAAACTCATTTATTTGTACTTAATGAGAACATTACCGTATAATGACTTTGGATGTTAATGGTTTTATATTGCAATTTACTGTAATTGGAGAAAATCTTCTCATTTAGGAAAAAAAACAAAGCACTTTGACCTGTATTGAATAATTGATGATGGGACGGATTGATAAAAGCGTTAAATTCTATTTCGGAATGACCTTATTTTGAGACATGTATGGATGACAGAGCGGGAGTGCTCGGTGACATAAATTCCATTAGTATGGTGCTTCGACGAGCGATATTTTTGTATAAATAATGCCCACTTTGACGCAACATAGGGAACATTGGGTTCAATAACTTTGACATGTTCTTGACAGTCTAGCCGACCTTTTTGTTAGCACGTACAATGGCTCAAAGGGCGATGCTTCAACATCTATTGGCGTGTTCTTTGGTGCCTAAGCTAAAATAACGCTATTAAGTATGTTCTTATCCTTTATGTCCAACGAGGGTGAAATATTTAGATACGTGTGTTTTTTATTCAACATGTCCGATAAACATCGTCTAAGTGTGAGTGTGTTCTGTTTAATAGCTAATATAACAATACTATTTGTCAGTATTTTCCATAGAGTGACTAACATGTGCCGCCTACAATACAGAACTATGTTTAAATCTACATCTTTGGGTTATAAAATGTAAAGCAATCAGTCAATAAGGCACGGCGTCAAGCGTTCAGTTGAAATAGTGAATTTTAACCAGCTTCTTAAGATAAAACAAAGAATTTATTGCATCAGCTATTAATAGCATCAGAGACAGCAATAACCATACAATCCTAACGCCTTTTGTAATCGTCATAAAGTTGAAATTGGGTTAATGCCGAACAATTTAAAGTTATCATCACACGTACGAGATGTTAACTAACCCCAAAGGAAACGATTCAATACCATTTATCTGGCACAGTTCCAAACTACAGCATAAAAAGCGTTCAAAATAAATAGGAATAAAACTGCCACATTAATTAATGCACCTAATTAAAAGCATAATAGGAATGGTATTTGAATGGCAATGCAAATTTTAATTATGAAAACAATGATGGTTCAAATTAGGTGCTTTGGCCCATTTATAACGGGTCCTCTTGTGACATAGCCCGATGAATACCTACAAATTGTCAGTTAAATGAGCCGAACGTTCAGGTAATGAACTAATTAATCGTTGACGACTAAGTGGCCCGCAAAGGAACTGTGATCTCACAATCAGTTACAGTTACGTCCAATTAGGAAATGTGGAAAATGTGAAATTATAGGTAAGTATCTATTTGTAGGAAATGTGGAAAATTTGATTAAAACTATCGGATAATTATTACAAGTTTTATAATTAAAAATTGTATGTATGTTAAGATAGTCAAAACTATAATAAATTATGGTTATTATATCGTAATTATAAGTTCCATTTGGTCATAACTAAGTACTTTTGGTTATAATTTTTTTCTGCCCATTTGATTAAACCAATAGAAGGAAATAACTACGGAATGTTTTTCATTATCATCAATTCATCATCATCATTTTAGCCATAAGGCATCCACCGCTGAACACAGGTCTCCACCAGTAATTTCCAACCGGTCTATCTGGAATATGTTTAATTTTCGAAAATCGTTAGTAATCGCACAGGATTTGGTTTTGTACTCGGCTTATAATAATAATCCTCTCATCACCAAATACATAGAACTCATAACTTCACTGTTACCTATATTTAGGTAATATTGTGGACCTCTGCTTACTTTTCTAGGGTGCTAAACGATGTTGTGGTATTAACCAGCCCTTTTCCATTACAGAACATAATAATAATAATTGTCATAACAGAAGAGAAGGATATGGATATAGGAAGGTACTGTACTACCAATGATAAATGATCCAGGAATTCCAAGATATACTGTGTTTGCCAACGTTGTTTTTGGTAACGGACTTCGTGGAAAACACGAGTACCTATCGAGTACTATTATTTCATGATACGTTGCGGAAAAAAAAACACATAACTTATACCTATGTTATTTTATTCGAAGAAATGTGCAAAACAAAAATAGTAGCCAGTATTCGACGTTACGCCACTGTTCAATGCAATCTACATGTTTACCGATGGTATTTTAAATAAAGAACAAGTAAAAATTCGTTTTAATTAAAAGCAAGCAAGTGACGAAAATTCTCATTTCAAAATAAAACTTTTATGTCAACTATCCCAGCTTCAAACTTTACGTATAACCGCGAACATTAAAGTGGTTGACGCTTTGACGCTGTTTTGCATATAAATTCTTGCAGAAAATGAAAAAAGTCATAAGTTACAATGTGCACTTTGAATTTTTAATATTAGTACCAGCTATTACTGCTACTATTTTTAGTATAAGCCATAACTTTGTTATTTGAACAACAACATGCGTCATTAACGTCAGATCTCACAATACCAGCAAAGGCAAGATATGATAAACATACAATGTTCGGACATTGCAATAGGCATTGCTAGTAAGTTACATATGTCCATGAATTTACCACTCCAGATGGAACGGCATAGTGTCCTTTCACTTACCGTGAGATTTGGTGATATCAGATGAAAGGAATTAACAAGGAATTTCTTCTGCTGATAACAAGACAGAAATTAAGACACCGCATCTGAATGGCCTCTTGTGTTGACACACATGGCCAAGTTGCAGAAATCAATGAAAAAAAAAATTTTAAAGAGAAAAAATAAATTTCATTAGTACCTTGAACTCTATGGTAACAGTATCTAAACGAATTCTTTTTGTAACTTAAAATCTTGGTATTTTAATGAAGCATTAGTTTTCCAAACATTAGTGTTAAGGCAAAGCTTATCATGAGAGAAATATTTTGCTTACGTCTTTGTCGTGACGTCACTGTCATGACTAGTGTGACAAGGGTCGTTGTCATGTCACAATCCTCTTAAGTATAACTAAAAGCATTGCTAAAGCAGCCCAGTTTTAGTGTATAATATTTTAGTTTCTTCGTAAACCTAGGCCACATTGTGTTTTACAGTATGTATTAATCAAAGTTGATGTCTTATTGTGTATTATTACGTAATTTAGGTCACCGTCATTTCTTAAAGGTCAGTTGGGGTGACCTAGCCTGAATAGGTAATGCCTAAAAATATAGTAACAGTAATGAAGCTTTACTCATTACAGAAATTCTTTACAAATTTAAAATCATGTCTTATAACTTACCTGCTCAAGCAAGACTAATAAACAGTACCTACAAGACAATGTGGTACA